ACTAGTTGTACTCTCGTTATACTGATGTAATATGTAAGCTGTCTTCGGACAGCCCACCCATTTGAACTAATAAAGTGTCAGGGGCCTAAGTGGTCACCTCAATATTAAAAAAAAAAAAAAAAAAAAAATTACTTTAAATGTTTAATAAAATAATAAATTTAATTATATAAATATTCTTATATATAATATTTAAATAATACTATTTTTAAACTTTTGTAGTAACACCACAAGTCAAATACTAGTATATAATATATAATAGTATAGATAAATACTATAATAATAAACACTATGAGATAAACACTATAAGACAAACACTATAAGACAAACACTATGAGACAAACACTATAAGACAAAAATATAATTTGATTAGCTAGTTATAAAAGGATTATCTTTATATATAAAACCTGATTTTCAAATTTGAGATATTTATGAGTTTATATTTAAATTCTGTACTTTGAAATATGAATCTATATAATTGAATTACTTACTACAACCACTATAGCAACTATAGTATATATTAACTCTATACTTATTTTTTAATTCTAGAGCAAAGCAATAGATTATATACTAATATAAAATAATATAATGTACTATAGTTTTAGTATTAAGATATCCTCTTTGGCTTAGTACTGTTTATTAACAAAGAGTACTACAATGATTATAATGAAAATACAACTAGCCACTTGTGCTTTTGGCACTATCTATATTAAATACTTGTATCTGTAATTTAAACTAAAACTACCTATTTAAATCTTTTAATTATAACTATTTTTGTTTTATATTTCTGGTAATCTATATGATAATATTTGCTAGCTACACTAAAATTAGAAGCCTTATCTTATAATATCTGTACTTTATTATAAGTTTGCATTGACTAATTACTAGCTTGTATTTTTTCAATAAGCAGATACATATGTATTCTCAAAATAAACCTACTAGAGCTTTCTGTATTCTATTCTGGCCAGTCTAGTCTTCACAGTCTCCAAGGAGTCTATTCGCAGTATAGTTTAGTAATTGCTATACTCTTATAAGATTCACTTTCTATCTTAATATCTAAATTTAGACTTTTTTTTTCTGTAATTCTCTAACTGGTTTATCTCTTACTTTTAACTAACAATTCAAAAAGTTCAACTCTGATTCTGACCTGGCTCTAGGCAGTGTTGTACATGGGACATGTCCACACTATGTAAAATGTCCAACGTCCAAGATTGTCCAAAATCATCCAAGCCTATATCTCATGTTTAACTAATTAATAAAATAATTTAAAAAAATATATAATTATATATTTTTTTAGGTGTTAAACTCATTGGTGAAAAAATTAAAATAGATTATCTTAATAAAATTTTGAATAATTTTAATTTAAAAAATTGTCCAAAATTGTCCTATGTACAACACTGGCTCTAGGTGCCTTAGGCCTATCTTGCCTTGATACATATTTCTATAGCATATGTCTTTTTCTTTCTGGTGTATTTTTTTGGTCCATGCCTATTGGCTGGAACTTCTAATCTACAGATTCACTAGAGGTAGGATCCTCTGTTACTAGTTTTCCAAGTCAGCAACATAGTTGGTATACACTGTGTATTTCTGTTAATTTCTAGTTTCCCAAATTGGCAGTTTGGTTAGTAGATTCCTCTATTTAAGGATCTTTTGTTACTCAGTTTATCAATTTTAGTTCTAACTTTCAAATTTGTTTTTTTTGTAGTTCTATTAAAGGTTTTAACTACTTCTTTACTTGGATTTTTCAAAGAGGTATCGATTATTCTAATTATTTAAATTTTGTACACCAAACCTTTTATTCTAAATGTTATAACAGACAACCGATCAATAGACAATCATTACTAAACACAGGCCACTTGGGGTAACAACTCTACTACTTTGCTATGTTATCATACTCTATATATTATATTTTATAATTTTATATTATAGTATTTTATTAGATATTTATTATTAAATATATTTATTTATTATCTCTGTAATGTATTGTCCTCATATAATTGACCAATAAAAATTCAAGTATAATATAGTACAATTAGGAAAATTTAAAACAAATACTAATAACTTAAAATTTTACACATAAAACTACTTTTTGTATTTTAACAAAAAAAAATTTTTCTTGCAAAATTTTACTATAAAACTTTTTTTGAATATTCTATAGAATAGGTAAGCAGACTTTACAAACTCAGCAACTCTGCTAAATATTTATTAATGATTACTAATTAGTAGCAGAGTTTATTTTTTATATTGCCTACAATATCTTTTTTCTTTTCTATACTCTAACTCTATCTAACCCTAATTATATAAAATAATATAGTTTATTTTAGTTGTTTTGATTTAATTTTATAAAGACAACAATATCACATGTGTGATATATAAATTATTTCTTTATTATTTATATTTATTGTATTATTGTTTGAAGCATAGCAAGGATGTTTTTATTTTTATGCTATTTTATACAATATTTGTTAAAGATATCCAATCAAACTTTTAGATTAGATAACACAACATATCTTTGCATATTATAACAAAAAATATTGTAAATCAGATATGTTATACATATATATATTATTGCTTTGGATATCTATCAGCTTCTAATAACTTAGTTGTAATATATTATTAATATAGTTATTAGTATAGCTTATATGATAGTTAAATAATACAATATCTTTAACTTATTTAACATAACTCTTAATTTTCTTAACTTTTTTAACTCTTTTAAATACAATTTTTAACTTTCATTGAATTAATAAATAATAGGTAAATATTAGAAACAAACCTTCCAATATATATTTATTATTCTACTATAAATTCATCAAATAACTGTAATATATTAGTAGCATATTGGAATTAGATATTAAAAGATAAATTAATAATAGTAATATAATAATACATACTGGAATATCCTGATATTTTACTTTTAGCACTATTTGAACTAAGAATAAAATACTGGGATGTCTTGATATATTATTGTTATATTACTATTATTAATCTACCTCCCAATATCTAATTTAGATACTACTAATATACTACCAATATGCTACCAATATGCTACAGATATTATCTTTAAAATCTCTATTTTTATACAATACAGTACTGGTTTAACATAAATTATAGATACCTCTTTACAAAGATATATATATATATAAAGAAGTTATTATTTCTTTATAAAATTAGCTTAATAATATACTTTTGTAATTATATAACTTTTTTTAAAATAATCTCTAGTAGATAAAATTATTCTTTAGTTTTATAATATAAATAAATAAATAAAACTTAATATATATTATATACTATTTTAATACTAAACTGTTTGTCTTTTGCTATAAAGTTTAATTATACTTTACTATATATCTACTTTATTATTTATATTCTAATAGCAAGATTCCTACATCAGATAATCTTGTTACTATACTATATGATTATAAGAAAGCTTGATACTAATAATAGTTGTAATTTACAGATATATAATTATATATAAATATTTTAATAATAAAAGCAAGGTTGTTTAAAAAAAATAAAACAATAAAAAGGTTTTAAAATTTAATACTAAGAATAAAAACTTAGATATATATTTAAATAAACCCAAATACTTATTTGTAGCCTAAATATAATTTGATTAAAATATTTTAATATTTATTTAATCAAATTTAATAACTTTTTTTTAAAAATTTTATAAATTTTTATATTAAAATAAAAAAAAAATCTATTAAATTTAATCAAGAAATCTTTAAAGTTAAATTAAAATAAATATAATCATTATATATTTGGTGCACCATTTCTGTATCTCAAAATTTACTAGAGTAACCCTGTTGTGCTACTAACAAAAAATATTCCTCATGCAGTTTTACTCTAAACTCCTTCTAAATCTAACCTTAACTCTAACTCTAATCTTTATTAGTGATCTAATATTGTGCTTATTAGCAATTAGAGAAGCACTAAATACACAAGTGCACTATATATATTTTCTTTGCAAAAATATGGCATTATCAAAAAGAGTGTAAAAATATTAACTCTCTAAATTTATTATATCGTTATTATGTAGTAAAAGATTTATATAGTTATTTTAATATTTTTAATATTGAGTATATGTGTTGTACGTCAAATTAAAATGTGTAACTATAATGCCGCTAATACCTACTCCTACTCCAACATAGGATTTTAATTAAAATTTGATCTTAGTTTGACGCACAACAAATAATTTAAATACAGTATTTTGAACATTTAATAAAAAGGTTCTATAACAAAATACTTAAAATACTAATTCTGTTTTATTTAGAAACGGAATGACAGAATAATATAAATTCACAATCAAAAATACATAGTAAATAAATAAAATTCTAAATTATTCGATCATTGAATATTATTCTCCTGATTCTATTTTACATCTGATACATACATCACCCACTTTTCTTAGTAAGTTTTCTTCGAGTAATCATCTGATTTATAATCATCCTTCTTTTCTCCGTATCCGTATCCGTATGAACCTATAAGTTTAAACTCTCCACCTTTACCATGGCATGTTTCGTCTTCCTTGAGATAGACGTAAGCGTAATAAGATTCACTGGTGTCCCAATCGCTACCGATTTTGAACATTAAAGTGCCAGTTCCACATTCCGCCTAAAAGAAAAAATCGAAATAGGAGAAACAAATAAATAACAAAAATAAAGCGTATAAAATATATATAAATATATAAATATATGTATATAGATTACCTCTCCAGTCCAACAAACTTTGTCGGAGGAAGTTGATTTAATCTCAACGACAACCTTGGCTATTTACATCAAATTATAATTAATAACGATAACTTGATGGTAAAAATTTAATACTCATTCTATTTATTAAATTACCATCAGATTTAATATTGTTAGACCACCAACTACAGGCTTGGGTACTACCAACCGCCCACGGACCAGCACCTGGTGCAGAAACGTGAATTTCTTGTTTATCATGCCTTTTGTCAGCAGGGAAAGCAAAGACACATGAAATAATCGCAAGTGAAATAAACAAAGTTTGTAAAAACGATTTCATTTTGTATTTTTATATTTTATTTTTATTTACTAGAATACTAGAATATTGATATTTCTAAGGCAATTTATGTATATGTAAACTTTTTTTTTTTGATTTGAAAAGAGGAATTAGTGGAGTTTATATAATTTTCACTTTCTTGCAAATGGCAGGTGAATATCTTCGATCACTTTTTTTCAAATTTCGGGCAAAGCCTTGTAAACTTGATTGGGGCTTTTCGTATAGAAAAAAATGTCATTTGAATTATATTTGCCTCCCGTGTCGTGTGGTCGTGATGTATGGTGAGGTTGATTTTTTTTAGCATCACTTTTTTACGTAATCGTTGTTACATATAAACTAAAGAGGCTTAGTTAAGATCGATGAGGTCTGCAGGCTTGGACCGAGGCATTTGCTTAGATGGCTTGTGATATTCTTTACGATCCATGCATGCACTATTAATTATTTACCTATAATAACAAACATCCCCCTCCTGATTTTTTTCTCGTTTTTGGGCTTTAAACAGCCAAACTAAAATTAGACACTTTCAGTTTTGGGTATCGAGATGGATAAAATAAGTAAGTTAATTAATTTATTCTCGTTTCGAAAAAGGCTGAGACTTATATTATGTAATACAATTTATTGGATTCTAGGTTCTACGTAAGATATTACATAATGTTTATTACTGCCATCTTTTTTTTTTTTGAACATACAGTATATTAAAAAAGAAGCAATTATCTTTATATTAATTTGCACGGAAAATATATTATATGCCAACTATTCAGAAGTTGATTAAAATTTTATGCTTTTAACAAAGTAAAAAAGTTATTATAAAAAATTATTATATAAAAAGTTATTCTGAGTCACTAACAAGAATTTCACAGCCGAAAGATTTACGACCAAATTTTTTAACGTTGAAAGTTAGTACTAGTTTTTTGGTAATTATCTTTGACGGCTTATGTTCAAAGATAGAGTATATTTAATTTCTCTAAGCCAAACACTAAGCCAAGTATCTCAATGCAATCGTCGAAGCCACATTATATGCCGATCGATGAAACTACAAATAATGTACTTACGTACGTACGTACGTATATTAAGCATAACAGATAATTGAGATTAATGTCGATCCACGGAAATGCTAATATTAATAATAAGGCACAACTATTTTTCGGATGATGATTTATTTGGTGCAATAAAAAGGAACGGATGAAGAGAAAACCGATTTCGTTCCGACGGGACGTCAAATGGAGACAGATTTTTCAAGATTACCATAATATTCGGTGCATGTATCGACAGTTCCGCTTCTTGTTTCTAGTCAACGATCTTTTACGGATTTGATTCCAAAACAAAAGCCACTTTTTTGAAGCGGATATGGAATTTCCTTAATTACTCCAGCTTTTTAATTTACATATATGGCAAATAATTTTAATTTTGTTACAAACCGGGTATACAGTGACATATGCGCTTCGCACATAAATTTTTTTCGCACAATAAAAAAATACGCAAGTGATTAATTATGTGCACTCTATATAGCCACTACCATATTGGCAATATTTAAAAGATTTTTTTGCTAGCCTGTTATTATATAAACTCATTCTAATCTTAATAATTTAATCTGAATCTTAACTGTAAAAAAAAATATATACTACAGTATACAGTATATACTTATAATATTAACTAGGCATCATTTAAAACTTTTAAGCTGTATCATAAAGTTTAGTTATAAATTATAATTAAGGTTTTGTTATTAAGAGTAAGGTTTGCTTATCAAAAAAGTGGAATTTATTTCGGCGGATGTTAAATAAATCAATTATTTTTGGATCAAAGCTTAGGCAAATCGATATTTCATAAATTTTAAGTGGCGTGTAACATATAATAATTTTGGCCAGAATTACGAAATTAATATAAATTTTTTAATGTCGTAAAACAGGGGATATCAATTGATCAACAGACGTGCGTATGTGTCTGCAGGTTTCCGAAATTCGAAAGAAATTCAAATCCTCACTACTTTGAACCAGTGTGTTTACGCGGATAATAAACAATTATTGGATTTTTCTTGATATGCTCTATAACACTGCAGAGCTATTTTACTTATTTTAATGTAAAATTAGCTACAATAAACAGTTAATGTTAGTAAAAGTAAAAAAAAGCTTTGCATTATTATAGAGCATTTTAAATAAAATCCAAAAAGCACAGTTTTATCTATGTGAATACACTAGTTTAAAAGTAGTACATCAGCAAAAATATATACATAAACTTTCATAAGTTTTTACGATACATAAGAAAATTGTAAACTTATGTAAAATTTAACATAAAACTACATAAGTCTTACGTTGCATAAGAAAATCATAAAATTATATAAAATTTTTATGCAATTTTATAATTTTCTTACATACTATAAAAACTTACAAAAGTTTATAAAAATTTATAAAAATTTATAAAATGCTAGGAAAATTTAATCTTAAGAAAAGTACAAAATATTTACAAAACATTTTAAAGATTTTTAAAATATAAAGAAAATTTTTAATATAATTTCACCTTAAAACAAATAGTTTATTATTTTTTTTTTTTAACGACGCTGCCTCTTTATTACTCATTTTAGTGGAATGTACACAAATATACATTATTTTTACAAGATTTTCAGTACATCATTGGTTACAAATTTCTAACTAGTACCTGTTATGCTGCCATTACTGAATTTGTATCTCAAGCTACCTTTTAAGGTACTGCCAAAACCCGATCTGTATCTCAAGCCACAACTTTCCTAATTAGTCATTCCCTACCGCAGATGTCCCAGGTCCCTCCCCCTGCGGTGTTTCAGTTCCCAAAATTTCTAGAACCACCTTGAGTAAGATGTACCAAACCTTATGGCTCAGTATAGTTGTATTAACCCTATTTACCTCACCATTGGTTCTCACATCCCATGAAGTTTGCTTACCCCGACTCCAGGTGCCTCCGGATCATTGGATGGCAGGATATTTCCATTTTGCTAGATATCACATGTCCCACACATGTGTTCTTTATTTAGACTTCGGTAACCTACGCCACGGCTCTACCCATGTACTTGGGGTCAGGGCTAACTATTGAACCTCTGCGATTACCTACTTCTGCCCTTATTAGGTTTTCAACAACCCTGGTACCTGCATTTGAACCATCTTCTTACTCAGATTTTTTATCAGTCTCTCTCTTACTTCCAGCTGGCAACCCGGAAGGGTCGGTTTGCCCAGGCTTTAGGTATCTGAAGAATGCTCTCCCCTTGGTACATACTTTTGGAACATATGTTCTTTTCCTCCGATGCGACAAAACCTGCAGTTTAGCTGGTATGTCCTCCGCCATTAGAATCTGGTCATTCGGTTCTCCGATCTCGGGCCCTAGTTCGAATTTAGCCCTCTTGTGATACCATCAAAGATCATTGTTACTCCTAACTCGGGACTTCCCAAATAGGTTTTCGGTTATGCCGGTTCTTCGGATTTATTGTGCTATTGCTTCTATTACTAGATGGTGTAACCGAAGTTACAGATTAGATCCAACCAATATGCATAGCCGTCAACCGAACACAAGCCTATTTTTCAAATATCATTGTCCATGGGATTCGAACTCTAGACCTGCCACTTGGAGAGGGTGACAACTAGACCATTACACTAAGTCGCTACACCTCTCTTAAAACAAATAGTTTAAAATTTGTAAAGTATTTTTTTTAATACTATAAAATATTTTGAAACATTTTATATATTTATTGCACTATTCAAATTATAAATTATAAATGATAAATCATCTTGATTTATATTTTTATAACTTTATAAACTTATAAAAGTTTATAAAAGATAGATGTTCTATAGAATAGGTAGGCAAACTTCACAAACTCCATGACTATGCTAAATATCTATTAATGATTATTAATTATTAGTGGAGTTTATTTTTTGGTTTTACTAAATCACACCAGTAGTGCTAACACCACATTAATTTTAACCAATAAAATTAATAATATGCAGTATAACATCAAGATCAGATATAACATAAAATCAAAACAATCTTTGTTGTTTTTTTAAAAAACCTTTAATAACTCAAATTCTGCTTATGAAACTACCTTTTGTGCTCTAATAAAAAAAATTTCTTGTATAATTTTGGTATATATTAATTTTTGTTTACAATTTTAACTATAACTCTAACACTAATATAAGCTAAATTTAATAAATCTTTGTTTATTTGTTTTGATAATAATTTTTATATTACACTGCATATATAATATACTGGCATTTTTTTTTAATTTCGGCAGTCTTGCCTTTACTTTATTAGGCTTTATAATATTATATTATGAAATATTAAAATTTTCAAGGGGCTATTCCTCTTAATGCCTAAATTACAAGTATTAGCTCACCTAGTTATTCTATAAACACCTATGTGCAACCTGCTATAGTAAGTTTTACCTTCATATTAACTTGTCCTGCATTTGAACTTGTTAATACTTTGACGAAAGGTTCTTATGGCCTGTTAAGACTACTAATTGTTTTTCTACCACTTTGCATGTTAATTACTTATAATCCAACTTAATATTTCATTTCTTATTACTTCTAATATTGTGGTCCATCTTTCGCTTTCTTCTTTTTTCCTACTTCTCTGTTCAAACGATTTGTCAGATATGGTTTTCTTCACAACTCCGGCCTTCTTCTTTTTCTTTCTTTCTTGCTTAGTTTTTGGAATAAAATTCTTCTTTTCTTTGAGCGTTATGCTATTTTTTTTCTTTCATTCCTGTATGAGTTTGCATTTGGTGATCCATATTGTTTTGTATATCCTCTTCATCCAGTTCTTCTAGAGTCAAATTATAAATTTCTTTGCCTGGTTGTTAGAATCAAAGAAAAATTGAATCTCTTCAAAGTTACTATTCATAATAAGGTTTCTAATCCATCTTTTTCTTCTTCTCAGTTCTTCAGAGATACTTCCTTTTTCTAGCATTGCTAGAATGCCTTCTTTGTCAATGCTTGTATCACTCTCTTTTTCAAACCTTTTTAGAATTAACTCTATTTTTTGCTCTTCTATATCACGCAGCAATTCAAATGAAACTTCACAACTAACTAAGTGTTTAATATTCTCAGTTTTCTTTTTACATACTACACATTTGTCCGTTTTATAAATGTCTGGTTTTCTTTGACTTAGTCTTTCAAAAACTGGTAGTAAATTATTTATACACTTTAATTCGAAGAGCTGAATATTGTTTGATTCAAATGTATAATTTTGTTGCTTAATTCTACTTTTTAAGAGCTCATAAAATATTGGCTAGCATTGATGAGCTTTTCTTTCTTTATGTGTACTGTTTTGAGTACTGTGTGTGAAGGTCCATTCTGCCCTGTTTATTACTTTTCCAAGCATCTTGGTAAAAGATCGTATTGGCTTTTCTACTAGTTCGTTTTCCCACTTAAATCTTAGTTTGTATCTTTTTGTACTTAAAAA